ATTTCTCGATTTTTTTTTTTAGTTCTCCATTAAACTAATTTAATTTACCATCTTTATCTATCTCCTGCTTAAAGCCAGCTTCTTCAATTTCAATTGTTGACGGACTATATCGTTGTCTCTCATTTTATTGCCCAAATATCATCACAATAATTACAATCTTCTAAAAACATAATGCATAGAATAAACAAAAACAGGCACACACTTACGAAATATATTTTGGTTGGGAAAATAAAGTTACAGCAAATGTTTGAAGATTCTATGTTTAGTAGGACGAACTTCATTATTTCAAATATATATGTAGCCTTGTATAATTTATTATATAATTTTCATGAGTACAATTGTCACATTTATAAATTAATATAACTGCATTGTTTAATTTACAATTGTTTATTATTCTAAAGGTCTACACTTTAACTAACTTTGTTTAAGTTTTATTTATTGATTTATTTGTTTTTTTTCTTGATCTGCAAAATGATATATTTTGATTGAAAGTAACATAATTGAGTTGACAATGTCAAGTAATCCCCACGTCCCTTCGTTATGTCGGTTGTATCGGATTTATAGGCAGTTTCCACAATATCCTTGTTTATGTTAATTACACTTTTGCATAATAACGCCATAACGGCGATTCGCCGACACGAATATCCATAGTTGCTACAGCAAAATGTTTTCACCAAATTCGAAACAATAGCCTGGTAATATTCTATTAATTATTTTTATTGCAGGCATTGTTGCGCAAAACACCCATTATGGTCTTTTGTCTTCTGATAGAGTTGCTACATACCATCCCAGAGTTTAGTTTTATGGTAAACGCCGCGCTTTTTAACGTTGCACCAATTTTCGCATTTTTTATGGCCTTTACGATTTCCCCATTTAAAATATTTTCGTTTCAATAAATATTTATAAATTAAATACGAAATATAAAAATAATTGTACACATTTTATATTAGGATAATATAGGTTAGCAATAAATATTTTGTCAAGAAACTTTCTAATCAAACCAGAAAAAATATAATTATTCTGGGTTATGAAGGTGTTATAAACGCTACTGAAGATTTTGTAAAATAATTTACTTATTTTTTGTTATTGAGTCAGTAGTTATTATAGTAACAAAATATACCTTCAGTACCTACTATTGAAACATGCATGAATTTTAATACAGACAACCTTTTTCTTTTTCCCTTCAATGAAGATGAATTATTTAGGGCCAATCTTTAAATCTCTTAGTAAAGTTGAAAGTAACTACTTGCTGATTAAACTATAGGGCTATTGTTTGTTAATCTGTCAAGTAAACCTACATGTAACTTTACTCAGAGGTGAAAAGATAGGGTAGTTTTTAAGAAATATGATCCAAAATATATAAATATTAACAGATTTACTAAAATAATTGGGTTAGGCCCAGAAAGAACACGTCAATCAATTGGATGTCTATTGGATGCCCATTGAAAATACATTGATGCACATATCGGCTATCCAAAGGACGTCCAGCATTTTACTGAAGGACATCCAATGGATATTCATTGGGATTGACAAAGTCCATTTGGACTCAATGAAAGGGCTATATATAGACTCTTTTTGTATTGCTTTTGTACAATTGATGGACATCACCACCTACATTAATCGAAAATAGAATAGACATATTTTCCTGCATATCTACATCATTTGACAACACGTCTAAAGAAAGAAAAAATTTTTTTTTACCCACACGAATTTTATAATATGATGAATTATACTTTTTTTTAGTCATATTTTTATTATCTGTTTATTTGTATACATGAAGACTCAATACTCAGACCCTTGATTTTCTTGTTTTATTTAAATGGGACATCCTATATTTTATAGTAAAATCATCTGTCCCGTCTTTCATTTTTATAAAGCATTCCCTATACCTAAAGTTAATATTTATCGATATTTTTTAACAATAAATGAAAATTATAGTAATTTCGATAAATTAAACTAGTTTTTCATAATATACTCTTTATAAACAATAATAAATAATGTGTTATTTTTTATCTAGTCGCCAATGCATTTAATATGCCTGTCACCATCCAGTTGACAATTTTGACATTTTAAAAATCAAGAGCAACTGCCTGTGTGTTAATGTTTTAAGTAAATTACTAATAATAAGATGAACAATACGAATTTTTCTATCCCAGAAATGGTGGATATGATTTATATACAAGGTGAGTGCAACAAGAATTCTTTACTTGCCTCCAGAGTGTACCACCAACGATATCCGGAACGCCGGAAACCAAATAAAAAGGCGTTTGAAAAACTATAATGGACCGTTTTAATCGTACTGGTACTGTATCATACGAGCAAAAACAAGTAACAAAAACTGCTATCACGGAAGAGAATGAAATGAAAGTATTGTTGAGTATTTATGATGATCCGCATATTAGTAAACGAAATATTTCAAGACAACAAGTCAGTTACGGAACTGTTCAAAGAATCCTATCAAAACATAAAATGCATCCTTTCCATATCCAGTTACATCAAGAACTTCTTGAACGGGATTTTGAAAATAGAGTGATATTTTGTGAATGGTCCCAACAAAAAATTAATCAACAAAGAAATTTATTTGATTTTGTGCTCTTTGGTGATGAATCGACTTTTCATAAAAATGGAGGTTTAAATAGGCATAATTTTCACTATTATTCTACAACAAACCCACACATTATAGTCACTCATAGCCAAATGAGGTGGTCATTAAATGTTTTGGATGGCATTGTGGGTGATTATGTGATAGGGCCACACTTTATTAAAGGACGAGTAAATAGTGTAATATTTTGATTTCCTTGAAAATCATTTGCCTACGTTACTCGAAGATGTTCTCCTTCACATTTACCAACAAATGTGGTATTTGCACGATGGTGACCAGTCCGTCTCACTGTAGTAATTCATAATTATTTAAATAATCACTTTCCAAGACGGTGGATCAGAAGAGGAGGACCGATCACCGGATTTGACAAAAATTGATTTTTTTCTGTGGGGTTATGTAAAAAACAAAGTATATAATGTGCCTGCAACGACAAAAGAGGACATGAAAACTCGAATCAGAAATGTATTTCAAAGTATTGATGTTCAAATGCTAAGAAATGTGAGTCAGTCATTCGAAATTCGATTACAAAACTGTATTGATGTTATGGGAGGTTACTTTGAACAACTTTTATAATTATGTTTTAATTGATTTGTTTGTTTTTGAGTTTTTTGTATTAACACATATTATTTATGACTGTTGATATAGAGTTTTTTTTATGAAAAACTAGTTTAATTTATCGAAATAACCATAATTTTCATTTATTGTTAAAAAATATGGATAAATATTAACTTTAGGTATAGGGAATGCTTTATAAAAATGAAAGACATGGAAAAGATGATTTTACTGGTGATAAAACATAAGGTGTCCCATTTAAATAAGGGTGTGAGTATTGAGTCTCCCTCTATACAAATTAACAGATAATAAAAATATAACTAAAAAAAGTATAATACATCATATTATAAAATTCGTGTGGGTAAAAAAAATTTTTTTCTACAGTATGTAATTGGCTGCTGGACGTTGAATTATGTACGATTCTCTCACAAAAATGCCAATTCCTTGAAAAGTACCCTATATAACATAGACAAACCATATATTAGAAGAATGGAAAAAAGATGAGTAAACAGAATCTAAAATAATATACTGGGGTTATCATTAAAAAAACATATGTTTGGTTCGTACACGAGCTATGCAAAACCCTGTATACCTCCCAATAATTTTAAAATGTTAACCTCAAACCTGGCCATAATTTTCTTAATACACTTTTTTAATATCTCTTTCAACAAGGAAGATATCGAACCTTTTCACAAGATTGGTCCACCCTGTATATTTCTCGATTATTAAGTCATTAATATCGAACACTAATTATACAATTTGGTAGCTATATAGTAGCTAGAAGCTACTCGTAAATTGCTTGAAAATATTTATATTTTACACTTTTTTAAATAATACGGAGTTACCACCAACTTCAAACTCCATTTATGCCATTTTCAACGATTTTTTTAGGAAATTGCCTAGCGCCAGCTATTGACGTTGGTCTAAAGATTTCTGTCTATGAAATTGTAATTAGAAAGCAACATATTATTTATAGAACAATTTTATTTCATCTTTTTATCGAAACACTTAGATTTGACTCAAATTAATAAGTAAGAAAACTGTATGCGGAAATACCAAAACCACTTGGTATAACTCAATTTTTTCTGCTCTTTTCGAATCTGTAAACAAATATTCAAAATATGATATATAGGGTGTTGTTTTAGGTATCGAAGAATTTGTAAATTTTTTGTTAATCCGGACCTGGATTTTCCCTATTATTAATACGTCACTGGATTTGACAAATTAAGGTGTACTTGTATACCAAATATCAACCGAGATACAGCGTGTTTCAAAAGTTATAAGCCTAGAAAGAAATCGGCAAAATTGATAAAACACCCTGTATCTCGGTTATAAAGAGCGACAGACCCATGAAGCATGGGTTTTTTGGAACCACCTAGGTGGCCCCCATATGCAGTTAACATATGCCCATTTAGTAATGAAACACCCTAATGCTTGGCATTCTATATTATACTCTTCAGAGTTTAATAGGCCTCAATTTTCAACCCAATTGCCACATACATTTATCTAAAATGGAGATTTTGTAATTTATTTGCCCACTTGTGATATAAATGAAAGTAAATAAGACATTTTTTGGGTTAGAAATATTATTTATAAATTAAGGCAAAACAAAAGTTATTTTGTTTAACTAAAAATGATTTTTGACATTTTTACCAGTTAATATATATCTCACCGCCATTTGTAATTATTTGAATACATTTTAGCAAATTAATGTGTATGTTTAAAGAACAACTATTTAAATATTACAAATTATACATATTTACTTCTTTATTCGTACTATTTTATTTTAGCCTATTAAAGGTTTACATGTCGAACTATTTTTTTAACAGTGTAATTTTTGTTTCAGAGTTTACAAAGTGCAGCGAGGAGGGCAGGAACGAGTTGCGCTAACTGCAAGACCACGACGACGACCCTCTGGAGGCGCAACCAGAACGGTGAGCCCGTTTGCAACGCCTGCGGACTATACTATAAACTACACAACGTAAGTCCTTAAATCAGTCTTACGCCTAGTAGTAGTAGTGCTTTGGCGAGATTCTCACACTTTATATGTATAAGTACCTACCTAGATCCGTGATATACTTTAAGGCGAGCAATTTAAGCTGAAATAAAGAGCAAAACAGAGAGCGGTAGTGAGAAGCGGAATGTAATAGTTTGAAAACGTAGCGATCGTTTTTAAAGTTAGGTGACTGGAAAAATATTGTATTATATGGAAGGCTCTTTAAAACTTATTTAATTTGGAAATATCATTACCTAGTGTAGGTACCGTTATTATTACTACTATATTGCTTGCGTCAGTCAGGTTCATATGTTAAAATAGGGATTCTATTTATTTTTTTATTTAGTAAACTGATGATTTGTATGCAGAGGGCGCAATTAAACTTCTTCAACATATTGAAACAGATAATCTGTTAACTTAGTAAAATACCTACAGTCTGTTCGCCTCTTCCCAAGAAATTGGGTAAAATTGCCCCAATGGTCAGATTTAAATTCAAATAACATTATGGTAGGTACTAAATTTGTTACAAATATTGCAGTTGAATTGATTCTTTGCAAGTGTTGACATTGTATGTATATTGTAAATTTAGTGAAAATTTTAAAAATGCCTAGACGTGTGTTAGATGTAGATAGTCTAATTTGTAGTGTACATAAGTATTTTACGGATGAGAAAGAAAATGGCGGTCCTTTAAAATCGGCAATATCTGTACAACAACGCGTATGCGATGCTCTAGGAATTATTGAAACCAAATTAAGAGGAGTATTACAAAATCACAATAGTGAACTAGCGAAAGAAGATCACCGCAAAACTCGCTCATCATTGAAGACGAAAGATATTCCAGATGAAAAGAAATTTGAAATTCGTGATACCATTTATTGAATAAGGGCCAACAAGGAACATGTGACCTTAAATACAATTCTCTCGAAATTAATAGATAGAAAATTTGACGACATTGTCAGAACAAGTCTATGGCAAGTGATACATAACTTGGGTTTCAAATTTCAAAAGGAGGATAACAGAAAGGCCCTTTGTGAAAGAAGTTCTGTCGTGCACAAGAGAATTAACTTTCTAAGAAAATATTCTAAATTTAAAGAATAGGGGGCGAATTTTATATATTTAGACGAAACATGAATATTTTCTAGGGGACAACCAAGATAATATGGCAAGATGATAACGTAAAGTCCATCAAACATACCGATGGAGAAGGGAAGCGACACATAATTTTACATGCAGGAGGGAAATCAGGTTTTATAGAAGGTGCTGATTTAATATTTTCATCTAAATCAAAATCCAGTGACTATGACGATAATATGAATACAGAAATGTTTGTAAAATGGATGAAAAACTTCTCCCAGATTTAAGTGAGCCCAGCGTAATTATTTTAGACAATGCACCTTAACATTCTGAAGTATTAAACAAAAGTCCAACGAATTCTTGGACTGTTGATAAAATTAAAGAATGGTTGACAATGGAACATATAACATTTCCTCAATATATATTAAAATCAAAATTATTACGCTTGGCAAATATACACGCAAAACCAAAAACCTTTGTTGTGGATCAGATTATTGAAAGTTACGGTCATCAAGTTTTACGTCTGCCACCGTATCATTGCCAGTTTAATCCCATCGAATATATATGGGGAATAGCAAAACAATATTATGACAACCATATTGGGCCTAATGGTTATAGTGACGAAGCAGTTCGGGAAACTTGGCGAAAAGCACTTTCAATTGCAACTCCAGAAGTGTGGCGCAACTGTATATCCAAGTGCGAGAAACTAATAGAAGATTGGTGGACTAGAGAAAATAAAATAAAGGAAATAAGTCCAATCATAATAACAATTAATGGTGATGACAGTGATGATGATGACGATTATGATATTTTGGATGATAATGACTGATTTTCATTTTTGTTGGCAAGTTCAATTTTTTTATTTTTCATTTGAAATTCTCTACATGGAACAAATTTTTATGTTAGAAAATATTTTATTTGAGGTAAATAACCCTCTTTTTATACATAGACCATCTTTTCTGTGTGAAGTGTAATATAAAATTATTATTAGGTTTATAATAGCCACATTAGACTCCATTAATGAAGAAGTTTAATTCTGCTCTCAATTATATAAAAGATTCTCCATTATTATTTAATTAAAAAGTTGTACATTATTTTACATTTCATTTAACTAGTTGATATTTTCCCAAAGAACAGGTCAAACTTTCGGGTACTTACCTGGAAATACTCATAAAAATTTTAATCCGAAACCCGCGTAAGTATAGCGAACAGACTGTAACAATAAATTGGAACAAACCTTATACAACCAGTTTTTTGATCGTAGACGAATCTATGTTTATTTGTGTGAATTTTTCCGTAGAGTTCCGTGCCGTAACGTATGAATGTGCGACAAGCTTTAATCTACATAGGCTGGTCTTGTATAAAACAACGAAAATTCGTGACGTACTGAATGAATTATCATAATTGATATGTTACGGTGCCTTTCAGTTTTTGACGCAAAATATCGTAACATACCGTTAAGTCAACATATTAATTTTTAATTAATTAATATTGTTCTGTATGGTGAATGGTGCCTAGTACAACATATAAATGTGCGACAAGCTTTACAGTATATTCTCGTGGAAACATAAATCTCTATGAATGACCTAAATTGGCATTAAAAATATACGATTCGTATTCAGGGTTGAAAGTTAGTCCATGAATTTTTTTGTATGAATACAGATCATAATCCCCTGTACCAATTTTTGAAGTGTCAATTTAGCATCCCAAATGTTCCATCTAATCGCCTCGCTCACTGCTTTATTCCGCAGAGTCGTTCTCCCAGCGCAGAGCGCAACGAGATATTATCATCATCAGAATCTGACCCGATGTGTTCGGCTTATTACGTGGCGCGCTCTATTCCCGTAACAAATTGTTATTGTTGTTGGGTAACGACGTTGTTTAAAATGGGCGTGGGGACCGGTATATGATATACTGGCCGAAGTCCAGCTCCGGGCACTCGACATACTCGATAGTCACTGAAACATGTCATTATGATCAACAATCGCACTACCAATGCTCCGATGGAATGCTCTGCAAGACGAAGGAAGAGTAATTTCTATACAGTCGGTGATCTTGTTTCTTTTTTCTTTTTGGTGGGATGTCGCTACAAAGTATTTGTGATGGACGTATCTGAAATTATGGCTCGTTTGAAAGATGGCGATTGTTTAAATTATGTGTTCACAATGCTTATGTTTTATAATTGTTATAAATGTGTACCTACTGTTATCGGCCAATTAACTTCTATTTGAAATAAAACCCATTATAAAAATTCGTTCTTCAATAACTATTATAGTTATTTCCCGTATAAAAGGTGTATACTGCTACATCTTTGTTATGCATTACTCACTTAACTCGTGAGTCTATTTACCTAGGGGTCCAAGGCATTTGCGAGAATTTATTTTTATATTAGATGTAGGTTTCATAAGTTTCTAAGCTTCATTCTATCTTAAGTAACTTCGTTAATCCATATCTATTTTACTTCTCTTTTATTGTCTATGTATTTTCTAATCAAATTCTTCTTGCCATCGCTACAACGTGGCCTTACGACGAGTATAACTGAAGCCCCACCAAGGTCATAGGCAGTTAGTAAAAGAGCGGTATTCATTTCGTTCCCGTTTTTGGAGGTGTTCACTTGGATCCTAATACATTAGACTCAAAGTTGTGCAAATTATACATTTTGTTTTGCGCAGTAATTTCAAAAAGTTCAAGAACGACTTAACCACTTAAAACTCTTGACCGTCTTAGAACAGTCAGGAGTAAGAGGTCTGCAATTATCACTCTTCCAGACCTCTCTAACAGATCGGGTCTAAGTGGTACAAATAGGCAATCATGTTAGTAATGAAGAGATAATAGAATATGGAGTCCCACAGGGCACGGTCTTTGAACCTATTCTGTTATCTCTTTACATTAACAGTTTACACACCATAAATAGTTCAGGCAGAATTTTCAATTTCGCAGGTGATACAGTTATTGTTTACAGAGCTCTTACATGGGAAGAGTTACAGTTAAAGGCACAAAAAGACCTTATTTCCTTACTTAATTGGTTGAAACATTTGGAGTTAATGTTAAATTTGAATGAGCACCTCATCGAAAATTTTAAATAAGAAAGGGGATCGCGTAGTACCTTGTTGAAAATGGATTTTAATTATATCTTCATCAATATAAAGTTTTTTAAATTTGGTGCAACCATAACTGAGAAAATTAAAAATGTAAATTATGATAATTTCACAAAACTTTCCGTAAAATGTTACATAATATTTAGAGTGTATTTTTCAATTTATTTTACAATAAATTCTTTGTTTCATTCTGTCTAAATTTTTATGATGCAGGCATGAAAATTTTACATTTCCAAAACTAATTTTCTCACTACCTGTGATTGTACCAAATTAAAAATATATATTGCAAAAGAGAGAATTAAAATACGTTTCAAACGAGGTGCCACATAACCCCCTTTCTTTCAGAGGAGGGTAATATTTTTACACTATAAATTGTCAAAAACAAAAGAAGAGCACAGGGGAAAATGATCAAGGTCACAGAAATTACTTTTCGTAGAATAAACAAAACAAAGTTTAAAGACTGTGATCGTTTTACTCAAACTCCGGTCATACCAGTACAAAGATTGTGTCTAAAACTACAAGATGGCAGTTCTACTTCATTTTTAATAAAAATTACTTCTAATATATTTTCCCCTGTATTCTTCAACTAATAACGCTAAAAATTTATGTATTCTATACATATGGACCGCACAGTATATGATCTATTCATTTTATCTTATTATGCACTGTTAGATATTTTAATATAGTTAGTGTACCCATAAAAATGTAATATACCATTACATTATTTAATTATTTTATGTAAGCAGAACTACGTTATACCAATAAATTTGGCAAAGCCGCATGAATCCTTCTCTACGTCGTATCTAGAGCTTT